CTTTTACTCCCTTCTGACCAGGAATTAAGTCTGCACAGCTCCCTGCCTTACACTGTGATATTCCTACCAAGTCACAATGCCTGAAAGGCTAGACAGCTCCTTCCAAGCAAGCATATTTATTCTTAAAGAAAATGTATTACAAAAGAAAACATATTACAACACTAAAAGAACCAAAACCCATGCTAAAATGTTATTACAGGTTACACCCGATTTCTCTCTCTGCCTCTGGTAATTTTAATCCTTTTGAAACTCACACAATTAGGTTTTCTCCATGGTTATAATTTCATTTTAGATACAGAATGAATATAGGGCAGATCAAGTGTTGTTGTTTTTTAAATACAGCACAGACTTTTGATCTCAGCCTTGAGTAACAATTAGTCAGCAGACAATGACACTCCTCAGGGTGAAGCTTTGAAAAATGTTTTTGGGGTTTGTTTTGTGCCTAACTTGATTTGTGGAATTTGCATTATTCACTACCTAGGGATTCCTCAGGAAATCCACTAAGCACTCAGTGTCCCAAAAAGCAGATATTTGGCACAATTCAGTAATCTTATGAAATCCTATACACATCCCAAGGCTTATGTTACATGAGAGGGATCGTGTGATGATTACCTGTTGTGTTCCTGCCCTCTGGGGCATCTGGTATTGGCCACTGTTTGCGGACAGGACACTGGGCTAGATGGACCTTTGGTCTGACTCAGTATGGCCATTCTTAAGATCTTCTATATGTCACCTCTCCCCTCTGGGGAAAATACATATAGTCCTCACCCAAATGAATATATAAACATAATAAAATAAGGTCTTCTAAGATATTGGAGGAAATTGCTGTATTTATCACAAGTTAAATCTGTTCCTATTTTTGTCTGTAATGGCAAGGGCCCTATCAACTTCACAGTCTGTTTTGGTCAATTTCAGAGTCATGAGATTTTAAAAATCATAAATGTTATGATTTCAGTTATCTAAATCTGAAATGTCAGTGTTGTAATTTATAAGAATCCTGACTTAAAAAGGATTCGTGGAGAGGGGTTGCAAAGATATTGTAGAAGGGATTGAGATTGGGGATGTAAAATCCTGTTTAATTAGTTATCTGGTTAAATGTTAAGTTTAACTGGTTAACTAATTAAATGGGAGTTGGGAGGAGCTGCTTCTGGCTCCATGCTGGGCTGCTGGCTCCCTAGTTGCATGGGCAGAGGGCTGCTCCCGCGTAATGGTTAATCATTTAACCATTCACATCCCTAATTGAGGTATTTCTACCCTTACTTCTGCATTGCTATTGACAGTGGTACTGCTGTGCAGAGCTGGACCATCAGTCAGTAGCTGCCACTCTCCAGCTCTGAAAGCAGCAGCACAGAAGTAAGGGTGGCAATACCATACTGTGCTACCCATTACTTCTGCACTGCTGCTGGTTGGGCTCTGCTTTCCAGCGGAGTGTCCTGCCAACAGCAGCTCTCCAGCCATCTAGCTTTGAAGGCAGGCTAGAGGTAAGGGTGGCGATATTGTGATCCCTCTTTCCCCAAAAATAACCTTGCTAAACCCCTTGCAACTCCCTTTTGGATTTGGAGCCCCAGTTTAAGAAACACTGATCTCCCTGTGAAATCTGTAGAAGTATAGAGTAAAAGCATGCAAAAGCCAGATTTCATAGGGGTAGACCAGATTTCACAATCTGTGAAGCGTTTTTCATGGCTGTGAATTTGGTAGAGCCCTAATAATGGCTTTTATTTACAGATAATGACTTTATTATGTATACATTTTAGTGCTAACATGGATAAAGAAATAGTTGCTGGTACCAGCTCCCCACAAGCAGTGTTGGATCATCATCCTGCTGCTGTCGCAATGGAGTTGGAACCAGAAGAGGATGTCAAACCTCCTCCTTCTTTGGCTGTAGATTCACAGCAGAATGAGGATTTAGAACAAGGAGAAGAACACCAATTGGTGCATGTTATGGAGCAATCTCCTTCAACTTCTCTGTCTTCTGTTGATATGAGAATGATGTTGTCACCATCTCCCATCCCAAGAAGAGATGATTTTTTTAGGCTCGAGGTTGGAGAACGCTTTAGGCCAAATTGTGGGTATGACCCACAGATGTTGCAAATGCTAAAAGAGGAGCATCAGATAATCTTGGAAAATCAAAGAAAAATTGGGCTTTATGTCCAAGAAAAGAGGGATGGCTTGAAAAGAAAGCAGCAGCTGGAAGAAGAGCTGTTGAAAGCAAAAATCAAAGTAGAGAAGCTGAAGGCAATAAGACTACGACATGATCTGCCAGAATACAACAGTCTTTAAATATTAATAATCTCTGTCACGTAATCTGAAATGGTTTATTTTCTGAGATACTTTATTATAAATTCTTTTAGCTTAGTAAAATGATTTGTTAAATTGGATGGCTCTCAGACCAGTCTTGAAAAACGAATGCATGCTTTCTTTTTTGTTATGTACACTAGCAGAAATGTCAAATGTCTTACAGGTTTGAGTCTTTTCAATATTTTAGTCTGAAGTATAATCAAATACAGTAGTTCTAAGTGTGTAAGATAAAAACTGCCTGTGGAAATCTTCTACAGATCTTTATTAGAGCTAGAACAAGCTAATGAAAATTTAGGTAGGTGTTCTAAAATATGTTGATTTTATGCTTTATTCTTTTTTCAGAGCAATTCCTATCCTTTTTAATATTCCTTATGAAGTTATTTGAAAATTAATAAATATATATAAAAAGAGAAATAATGTTTTTATATATCTTTTCACTCATTTTAAATTAGTACAGCCTATGGCAATGGTAAGATTTTACTAATGTGTTATTTGCTTGAAAAACATAGAAAAGAAACTGTCTGGATTGTGGGGTTTTTATGCTCAACTGAGGAAATGTTGAGTAAATGCATGTATCTTTTTAAAATTGAACTCCTTTCTAATATTTAATGGATGAAAGTTTCCATAAGATCATTTCAAAATAGAGATGCTGAAGGCAACACTCACATTTTCAAAATGGCATGTATGCATAATTAGTGTGCACAGTTACTGAGATTGTATATTCAATTGTGATAATTACATTGGCAAGTGACTAGGAAGATATCTAATTTGTTAATTTCCATGCATAATTACTATGATACATATGCAACCAAGACAGTTGCAGGTGCATTTGAATCAACATCACTGTTGTGTTATAGTTATCAAAATGCAATAATTTCTGTACATAAATAATTTGTGACCCAAAATCCAAATAAGAGCCTTTATTTAGGATAATTTGAATAGTGTGATATTTTGATTTATTTACAAATATAAATCCCAAGCCCTCCCCCCCCCCAAATCCTTCTTAGCAGCACCCCTTTGGTTGTAGTTTATTCCATATAGTATTATGACAACTAGTCAGGAAGGCAAGCACCAGACTGCCTGCTTCTTCATGGTTCTTTGTCTTCTGCCCTCTGGAAATGTGTAGCAGCATGTGCCTCAGGCCAGATGTACACTAGAGCTAGACTTAAAATACATAGCTAGAGTTGGCTTACCTTAAGCCGAGCTTGACATTGTCTTCACAGTGGGAGGACGATGGGAGCTAATGCTCCCATTGGCTTCCTTTACTCCTCACCTGGTGCTGCCTTAAGCATTCGATTTAGTGTGTCTTAACTAGACCCACTAAATGGAATGCCAGAAGATTGATCTCCAGCATGGCATGTAGAGACATAGCCATACTCCTTCTGGCTTCATATTTCTTCTAACACTATGTTCTCTTCCTCCAACTTCTAGCACAAGAAAAGGAGATGAAATAAAGAGTAAATGAAAAAGAGAACAAAGGAAATACTCATTCCACCTGCGTCTGCTATCTAGGATCCCAGTGACAGAGAGAACAAAAGCAGTGCAGTGAGGCAACTCCCTCATCTGGCTGCTTCTACTCATGGCTCTTTAGATCAGCTGCCTTCTTTGCCACATAGTATCTCTCCACAAAGATGGGGGCAGTGGTTTGCATCAGTGAATAAAGTAAGCCCTGCTTGCATCCCTTGGGTTCCTCCGGATACCTTTGTAACTCACAGGTGTAACTGATTACATTCTAGACTACAAATTGTATAGGTATAACTGAGGTCTTAACTTAAGCCTAAAGAACCTTTGTTTGTTGTGGTGCTTCTGTGTGTGAGAGAGAGAAATCATCTTGATTGTCAGCGCCCAGGATGAGTTTGTGCAGTTGAAGGTGAGGGAGAAGAGTGAGAGGAAACAAATCTTTTACTTTTTAAATAATCTGAAAAAGTTAATTGCTATATACATACACGTATAGCTATTTATTACAGTTATTTTAGCTGGGTTTCTTTCTGTAACAGATTTCTGATATTAAGATGTTCTGTGAATTACGCTTCTTTCTGATTGATACTAAAAATGAAAATGCACAGTTTTATACCAGTCAAACTGACTGTATTGATAAATTGGTATTCTTTATTAAAGTTAAGTCCAGGAGGTCTGAACCAATGTTCCTTTAGTAGCAGGGATGTAACTTCTTCAGATTTTATCAGGTTGTTGTCAGCTAAACTTCTCTTTTGATCTGGCTGATGGAACCTCCACAATCATCCTGTACTCTACCAGGTTTGGAGATAAGTGTGGCTCTTACTTGAAGAGAGGTAAGAGCAAGAGATGAAGGGAATGTTTACTTTTGGCAGCCATGGAATGACTGTGTACATTCTCCAATGTACTGTCCTTCTGCAATGTGGGATCTGATGTCACCCAACATTATGGCTATGTGGAATAAACCCTTGGATCCTGAGGTGCTCCAAAGATCTCTGGATGTGTGTAACTCAGACAGTGATGTTTTCTGAGCTGACAGGATATGGGAGAATAATATAGTATACAACACAAACTGGTTAATTTTTATTAACTAGTTACCTCACCACATTTCTCATTACTCTTATAGGTATGTTGTTTAGCTAAACTATACACTTGAATTATTATAAATTTATAAGTTTCATTAGCTAAATTAGAATTTAAAAATAAGAGAGAGGAATAAAGATGATTAATAATATAGTGCTGGCCAGTATTTACATATCTGCATTTACCTTTTAAGTTGTAACTTCTCTGTCTCCTTCCTTTGAAAATGTGTTTACTCAAGTAGAATCTCTGCATTCTTTGATAATTTATAAATTAGTTTTATCAATCCAATACACAATAAGGTAGATCAATTATAATAATTTGTTTGGATGAATATAATAATGAAACAGTAGGACAAAATGGTTGTATATCAGTAATTCCTTTCTGTTTGCTTCAGTTGGTAAGCTAGAATCACTCTTCTGTCTCTGTGTGACTGTTAACCAACACTTAATAAGTATTGTGGCCACTTAGTTCTTACAACATTTTGGTTCATCTTGCTTCTTGTTGACATTTACAAATGCCAAAATATATAAAGTTTTAAAATAGAAAACAAATACCTTGTTATATTTGTGCCAATTAAATATATTCATTTCTGCATAAAATACACATGATGGTCCAACTGATTTGTCACTTATGGTGCAATGCTTTTGGCATAAGAACTTCAAACTGAAGAGAGTTTGTTATAGCTTTAATTCTCCATACTGTTTAAGTTTCATCAACATTGTATATAAAAGATAACTGAGATTGTCACTTCTACCCAACACCATGGCCAAGCCAATGATAGGTATCTTAGTAGCCTTTCTTGACAGCCAAAGCCAGGGTTTCAGATCTACATCTGTGGCCTTGATCTATGTATAGTTAATACTGGAGCTTACTGCTGTGTTCTCCTCTACACTGTGCCTCTGATCCTGCTATCATGTGTGGCATCATTCATGACACCAATCTTGGCATTTTTCATAGCACCATTCATGGCACTGAACTCAGCACTATTCCTAGCCACCTTATTAGCTTTTACTTAACTTGATGAGGTAGTGGCTGGTCTCTTGACCAATCTGGCCTTAGAGAACAGTAGGGTTCTTAAACAGCTGCTGAATTGGTGGTCTAGAACCTAAAGATAAAATCAAAGGAGGTCATGGAGAAAGTTCACCCAGTGGTCAACATTCTTTTCCCTCCTAGATCATCCTGTATCGTGATCCTGATGATCAAAATGATTAGCAATGTCACCAAGACAGATCCCCTCCTCATTGCCTCCAACTGCCAAAAGATACAAGAGGAAGTACTTTATTCCCATCATAAGTATGAGCATTTGTATACCCACTCCTAGCCTGACACCCTGGTAATTGACACTGCTAGTTAGCGGAAGCAACAGGGCTACCAAAGGCCTTCTACAAAAAACATGAGGCCAAGAAATTGGACTTCTATGGGAGGGAAAATATAGTTGATTGGGGAGTTGCAGCTCTGTATTGCTAACCATCAGGCGGTGGTTAGCAGATACACTTGTAAGACTTGCAGGATCGTGCTGAAATTTATGGAGCTTCGGCCTTCTGACTCACATGTGGAATTTTCTGCACTAGTAGAGGAGGACTGTGTTCCCCTGAAAGCAGCATAAGACTTGCAGGATCATGCTGAAATTTATGGAGCTTTGGCCTTCTGACTCATGTGGAATTTTCTGCACTAGTACAGGAGGACTGTGTTCCCCTGAAAGCAGCCTTGGATACAGCAGCCACTGCCTCCTGTGAGATGGCCACTGGTGTGGCAATGAGAGAGTTCTTGGTTCTCCCTTATGAAGTCCAGCAGACCATCCAGGACCGTCCCCTTTTAAGAGCAGGCTGACTCTTGATGTCACAGCTTCAAGGATTCCATGGTCACCCTAAAGTCCCTTGGTCTCCTCACTCCAGCCACTCAGAGGAGACAAATTAGACCTCGACCCCTGCTGAGGGCTTACCAGCCACAAAATAGGCAGGAGGCTTCATGGAGGAGAAACAAACTCTAGAGAGAGAGAGACCTCACCTGTCCTCCAGCAGGACTCTGGCCAGTCTAAACCAACATAGGATTGGGAGCTCACATTGGAGACCTGAGCACTTAAGGTATGTGGTCCCAGCCAGAACTATCTCTGCACGTAAATGCCAGAGTGCTGCAGCTAGTCCATCTCGCATGTCAAGCGTTCTTGCCCCACTTGCGAAACAAATGCATTTCAGTCCTGACTAAGGATGTAGGCGACTAGTCGACTATCTGATTCCTCGCTGCCTCTATCAGAGATAAACAGGAAGGGGTGAGGAACAGTAGCCGGTGCTGGGGGAAACCAGTAAATCTAGTTCGTACCAGCACTGTTTCTGCAGGGCTCTTGTACATTTCAAAAGCAGAAGTGCTGCATGGAGCACAGGGTAAGCAGGGATTCAAGGAGAGGCAGCAAGGGGGGGACAAGAGCTAGTGCTGCTGGGGAGCCGGCTTTTAAACCAGTTCCCTCCAGCACTGGCTCTAGGATGCCGCCTGCCCCACCCTGCTACCTCTATCAGAGGCAGCAGCGTGGGGGTAGGGCATGCTGTTGCAAAATCGCTCCTGTCCGCTGAGTTCCCAGCAGAGCTGCAACACCCCCTGCATCCCGTGGACAGAGGCTGTTGCCACCAAGCAACCCCTTTTTGCAGCGGACTGGGCTGCAGCAGACAGGAGCTGTACACTGCGAACAGGGGCTGCTGTACTCAGCACAAGTTGGGACCAAAGAGTCACAACTTGCGCTGATCGCTGCACCTCTGCTTTTTAAATGCAGTAAGAGCCAGCAGCACGGGTGGCTCCGGAGCCAGCACTGGTCAGTCCCGGCTTGAGTCAGTTCCTAGAGCTACTCCTGCTGCGGCTCTGCAGAGTGGCGCTTATCAATTGTATAGTCGATACAAATTGTATTGACTATACGGTTAGCCAGATAATCACTTTTTAACATACTTAGTCCTGACAGACAACACTGCAGTGATGTTCTATATCAACAGATAGGGTGGAGCTCATTGCTTTCCCCTTTGTCAGGTAGCCCTGCTTCTCTGGGAATTCTGTATAATACATGCCACGTACCTTCCGGGGACTTAGAATACCCTCGTGGACTGCCTCAGCAGGTCCTTTCTGACACAAGTGGTCTCTCAGAGCAGATGTTGCCCTAAGCATTTTCTGCAGGTGGGTAATTCCCCACCTCAAGCTATTTGCAACTCTCAGCTACAGGAAGTGTATTCACTTCTGCTCCTTCCTGAATCAGTCAGGGATCCCTGAGAGATCCCTTCCAGATGCCCTGGCCATCCTGATTCCTAGAGTCCCCCTCTTCCCTTCAGAGAGTGTTCCTCAGGGTGTGAGAATTCAAGTCATCCCTGATCCTGGTAGTGCCAGTGTGGCCCTGCTTCTGAATCACAGTGCTTCTGGATCTCTCAGTGGAAGAACCCATAGCCCCTCTCCTGCTCCCAGACTTAATAAATCAGGACCATGGCCAGCTCTGTCACCCGAGCCTTCAGTTCCTCCATCTCATGGCTTGGAAGCTCTGTGGTTAGCGGGGCTGGAAGATCAGTGCTCTGAATCAGTTCAGAAAGCACTGTTGGCTAGTAGGAAACCTTCCACTAGAGCCACTTATCTGGCAAAGTGGAAGCATTTCTTCACCTGGTCTTCTTGGAGGGATATGCCCCCAGTGGAAACTCCAGTCCTGGCTATTCTCGACTACCTATTGTGTCTTAGGACAAGGGACTGTCCATTTCTTCAATTAGGGTTGACCGTGCGGCTATCTCTGCTTTCCACCCTGGTAGTCAGGAAAAGTCAGTACGCCATTTTTGAAAGGGTTATATAGGCTTTACCTGCATGTGCATCATCCTCTGTCATCGTGGGACTTTAATCTCGTCGTCAAAAGACTGATAGGACCTCTC